TATATATATATATATATATGGCTATATATATATATATATATATATATATATATATATATATATATATATATATATATATATATATATATATATATATATATATATATATATATATATATATATATATATATATATATATATATATATATATGGCTATATATATATATATATATATATATATATATATATATATATATATATTCATTCAGTTGTATGTATATTAGTTTATAACCCTCGGTTTTCACGCTTTTGCCATCATCAGGCAAACTAGTTTTTTTTTTTTTTTTTTAAGTGGATCTATTTATGCTTATATGTGTTTGATTATCTGTGTGTGTGTTGGGGGAATTATTTTCTGTATTTGTTTGGGATGACACTCTCACATACATAGACACGCATAAAACATAGACGGAATATGTTAACTCTATCACAAATATTGAGCACTTTTCACTTTTGTCCTGCGCATATAATACATATATATATATATATATATATATATATATATATAGAGAGAGAGAGAGAGAGAGAGAGAGAGAGAGAGAGAGATAACAGTCACATCATGCTGAAACACGGATTCCCGTGCGTTCATCGAATTAAGCAACGGTGAACTTAGTACTTAGATGGGTATACCAAATACTGTGAGCTTAGGCGTGTAATGTATAATGGGTCGAAAATTGTTTATCAGAGAACCGAGTTCCAATTCGTTATATTCACTTACATGCAAATACCATTTGGAAATGGATGAATTCACATTTTCTCTCCCCAGCTATGGGTTAATTAGTAAGTCTTGTATCACTAAACCATTATTTTTTTTTAATAAAAAAACAAATTACTCCTTTCCCAAGCCAACATATATGACAACAAAAATACAAAAAAAAAATGAAAGAAAACGGTTAAATCCATTCATGTTTTTTTTTTTAAAACATATAACACATAAATCAATCCCAATCCAAAATAATTTAAATATTAATTTACATATGTATATTTAAAAAAATTAATCTCCTGCTCACTTTCAGGATTAAACCCTATCACCTGATGTCCATCAACTTGCGTGACTTTTTCGCTAAGTTGATGAATATTCATGAACACCCCTATTTTAAAAACAAATAACATTTTGTTACTCTTGCCACAAAAAACAAATCCTTACATTTGCTTATATATATATATATATATATATATATATATATATATATATATATATATATATATATATATTCATACATGTTTCATTAAATCTGTCTCGTCCGTATATTGCTTAATATATTGTACAGTAATTGACATCTTTTGATAATGGTTTATGTAAGCCAAAGCTTAGATTGATTAAAAATATAGATCAATATTGTGATTTTCTTTCTTTGTTTAATGATAATGTTATTAAGCTTATCAGACGTTATGAAAAGAATTTACATAAAATAAATAGACAACACTCGTCTATATTATTTAATGAAACATGTATGAATGAAAAATGCAGCCTAAATACACACACACAATATATATATATATATATATATATATATATATATATATATATATATATATATATATATATATATATATATATATATATATATATATATATATATATATATATATATATATATATATATATGTATTAATCTGCTGGTATAATCCAAGCGATTCTATTAACACTATAGAATTTTAAAATATTAAACGTTAAATGTTAAAAACTGAATAAAAAGAGCGCTCATGTCGTTAAATGTAATTAGTACTGTTTATTCAAAAACAGAACATTTACTTCAATAAAATGTATCTCTTAAAAATAACGTACAAACAGAAAATATATTTATATATATATATATATATATATATATATATATATATATATATATATATATATATATATATATATATATATATATATATATATATATATATATAAATGCATGTCTAGATATAACATGATATATTTTTGTATTATTTTTATAATTACTTAGATGTACATATTTGTATTTGAATTAAAATTGTATTTTTTGTTGGAGATTTATTACTTGCCTGGATGTGTGTTTGCAAATTAAAAAAATTATATATATATATATATATGGAAAATCGGTAACAGCACGTCAGGCTATATGACGCTTCCGTATAGGATACAGGTTCGAATCCTGACGGAGGACGAATATTTTCTATGAAAATTTCTCGGACCTTCAGGCCGATAAATGTTGTTTAATACTGTTTATTATAAACAGAGCATTTACTCAAATATTTGTATCTATAAAAAGAATGTTAAACATAAAAATGTCTTAAAATATATATATATATATATATATCGCATATGGTGAGTGTCTTTACTAGGATGTTCGATAACTAATTGTTTTAATAGCACTGAAATGAGAAAAATTGTTTAAATATTATTTATAAACAAAAAAAAGGTAATCATAATTTTCAAATTTCGACAGACGGGAAGACAAACTTTTGATTCCACATTTAAAGAAATATGCTTTCTTCTGGAAAATAAACAAGCTTGTAGAACTGCTTTCAAAATCTTTGCTTTTGAATGTTTTGAATTTGTGTGTTTGCAGTGGTTGTCATGCTATGTTCTAGCATCTCATAATAAACATCTTTTACACTCCTCCACGTACAATTTTGTGGATGGAATCCTGGTTTTCATGCTGGTACTCTTTTTTCAAATGGCAATAATCACTGACTTTTACATTTTCTCTTGACATGCAAAATCCATTTTTCATTACCTGTCACAACGCGATGTAAAAATAAAAGGTTCGCATTTCTGATTGAAAGACTTCAGATGGTGGAACATTGTGTTTGGCTCACAAGCAAAATCTCATGAGTAATCCAATTCTCTTTTTACATATTTTCTCCGTGCAACGGAGATGTTTGAGTAGACATTACCGTAACGCGTTAAGTTTTATGCCAAATCTCCAGTGCATTGAAGTGGATCCAATTCAGTCGTCTCTTTCGAATTTTCTTCGGTCACATTTAGACTTCTTCCAGCGAGGGGTCTGATGGATATGTCGCAATAGGCATTTTACACCCTTGTGCAAATCAATTGAAACAAAACGAATAATTCCGTTATTATTTACTTTTTCCTTATTTTCCCAATGAAACATGACCCAGTGGACATGTTAGTACTTCGTATGTCCGCCTTTATTTTTTAGAAGCTCTTTAATGCGATTTGGCATGGAATCCACTAATTTGGAGCAGTCCTCACTGATTTTGGGGTCACGGTACCACACGTCTATAATGACCGTCACGAGCTTCTCTTTCGACATATAATCCGCGATCTCTCTGCATGGCTTATTATGTTCGTGCAGCGTTAAAATTTTTGTAGGCTTCCTTGGAATAACGTCCATCGCAGACAATGACTGGAGGTCAACAAATCGACAGTCGAGACAATAGTGTCTGGGCGTGATAAAAATTTGATGTAATCACGGATGACGCAGTATTTTTCAAGGCCCAAACAAATTTCATCATACACCCCGAAAATAGATTTATATTAATGCTCAGCACTGCAAATTAAAATCGATTACACCCTGTCTGCCCAGTGGGTTTAAAACTGACCGTATGGTGAAAGAAAGGAAACTAAAGCGGTTGTTTCAATTTGCACAAGGGTGTAATTATTTTTTAAGCCAACGCTGACATGTACGAGCTCTCACTGGATCTGTATACACAATGTGCTTAAATTCCTCTGTAGCAATTCTACCCATTCTAAATTCATAGAGTAAACAGTAAACAATGGCACATATTTTGAATTTTTAAAGTTAAAATCCCCCGTGGGGTTTAGATTATGAAATACACTATAAACAACACAGTTTCCGATAGAAGAGATGGTCAACTAATTGTAAACGCAGTTTCGTACTTTTTAACAACCTTGGCTGGTTGAAACATAATAAAACATTTGAAATATAAACTCTCTAATAGATAGAAAGATAGATAGATAGACAGATAGATAGATAGATAACAAATAGAGGAAACGTTTATCGATCTAACATGTTTCACTTTTATTAAAGAAATACCGAAAAAATCTGTTATTTTTACTTTTATGTTCTTTGATTTTCATTGATTAATCAGGTTACACAGACAGTTCGACATGTTAAGCAAACGTTAGTATGATTTATGGCGTTTCGAATTCAAGAAGTGACGACGCGTCCCTTCGAAGTTCCAAGAAATTAACGGATTCACGCCTAACTGAAAAACACTAAAGATTGCTTTATGCATGTAAATATATAATAATTCAGATGATGATGTTTTTTCATAAGTGTGTGTGTGTGTGTGTGTGTGTGCGCGCGCGCGCGTGTGTGTGTGTGTCTAGTAGATATTATTTTTGGCGATTTTTCACATGTTAATTTGGGAATGCTTTTACATACCGCTTGTTTTAGATAAACATGCGTTAGATTCTTTAAGAACTGATTCAATAAAAGTTCATTGTTTCATTTTTTGGACTTTGGGGGCTTACAGTACCAGGTGTTCCCAAGCGGTCCCCCATCTAAGTACTGACCTGGCTCTACGATGCTTAACTTCGGTGATCGAACGAGAACCGGTGTTTTCAGCGTGATTTGACCGTAAGCCAAAGTCCAACCCTTACCTCACAGTCGGTGGGGGGTGTAAACGGTAGTGTCAGAGCTATGCCGCCCGGAACTTTGTTCCTGGTAGGGCCACCCAAGGCGGACAGGTCTGACACACACGCCGGCTAACAAGGGCTCTGGTGAAAATCCAAGGAGCGTCTGCATCGGTAACCGGCGGCTTCTGGTCGTTCCTGTCTCTGCGTCTCTGGGAACCCCGCGGCAAGCAAGAACGTTATCCGAGTAGGCCTGGGTACCCTACTTCTGTAATTTATCCCAAGAATCTTCTTCTCATAACAGGAAGAAGCCGGCTCAATCCGCCCAGGGTGAATGCCGCATCAGTACAGTAGTAGTACATTGTTTCATTGTAATTTCGAATAGATAGATAGATAGATAGATAGATAGATAGATAGATAGATAGATAGATAGATAGGTTGTGTGGAGGGAACAAATATTCGTACACATACAATTTTTTTACCGTCCTGGGTATGACGATAAACTACATCCGCGTCCTGGGTAAGACGATAAACTACGTCCAACAGCAAGGCCTCTGATCAGAAGGTTCTGAGGAGCGTGGAACCACCTCTTAATTGTTGGTGTTCCCATGCTCACCCTGACCCTGTTAGGGTCCCAGATATAGGTAAATAGTTAAACCCCAAACTGGAATCAAGATACTATTAAAGTGTAAAAATAGGTTTTAATACCAGAAATACTTTGTAAAAAATTATTACCAGCAATACATTTTTGAAGAAAAATTATTACCAGCAATAAATTATTGCCACCAGTACATTTTTGAAAAAAAATATTACCAGCCAAAAAAAATCTTGTCAGCATTAAATAACCCATTGTGGTTGATATGCCATAAAACAAAACAAACCAAACAAATTTTTAACTTATTGTATTTCCAAATAATGAATAAACATACTTTTCATATAATTAACTGTAGACAGATGCATAATAACTAAATATGCATAGAAGACATAAACACATTTGATTTAATAGAAATAAATCCCATTTATCCATTTTAATTGGTGAAAAATGTATTCGTAGAATGCAAATTTCAGATTTTCATACATTTAAGTAGATTTAATACTCTAGATTATTCAAGTGTAATATTCTACAATGTTCCAATGATTTTATCAGTAGTTATTTTTAGCCTAAAAAATACAAACGGAACATTCTGTAATTGATATTCGTGCAAGAAGCTTATCATCATAACAAGAGGTAAAAAAATGACAAATTTGCAAAGAGAAAAGATTGTTAAGCTCTGAAAAGAAGATAAAAGATACAGGAAACCCTCAGACAACCTGAATATTCCATTTACTACCATTAGTTCATTCATTGCAATGTATAAAAGTCACGCTCCCTTCGGAAAATTCAACTGCTACTGAAAAGACACAAAGATGCCAGGTTGAAATTCGTTCGTGATCACAAGGATGGTGAAAAATCATATTAGGAAAGAGTATTATGGACAGACGAAATCAAAATTGAGTTGTTTGGACACAATTCTAGAAATCGTGTATGGAGGGAAGATGACGATGCATTCAAAGAAAAGAACACAGTTTCAACAGTGAAATTTGGTGGTGGCAGTATCATGGTTTGGGGATGTTTTTCTGCAAAAGGTACTGGCAACAAATCAGTAATAGATTGTTGAATGAATGCCGCGGCACATCAAAATATTTTAGGAGTAAATTTAATGATTTCGGTTGAAAATCTTGAACTTCCTTCTGATTGGATCTTTTAATAAGATAATGATCCTAAGCACACTGCAAAATCTACGAATGACTTTCTGAAAATAAAGTAAATATCCTGAAATGGACAAGTCAGTGCCCAGATTTAAACCCAGTCCAGAATCTGTGGCCTTATTTGAAAATTCAAATCCTATCGAGAGCTCCAACAAATATCCATATCTGAAGAATACAACAAAATACCAACTAAAATTTGCAAATCATTAATTGAAAACTACAAGAAGAGGTTTGTTGCTGTAGTAGTGAATAATGGCAATTCTACAAAGTATTAAATGAGGATTATTTATTCTTTTTGCATTGTATAAATGATTTTAACCGATTAAAATGGATAAATGGGACTTATTTCTATTAAATCATTTTTTTCTGTTTTCTATTTAGTTATTATGCATCTGTGTACAGTTAATTATACGAAAAGTATGTTTATTCATTAGTTGTAAATACAATAAATTAAGGATTAGTATGTGCACGAATATTTGTTTTTCCCCACTGTGTGTGTGTGTGTTTAGCACATATAGTGTTGGCGTTAATAAACCAATGCTTGATGAAATAAAGCAGTCATATATTAATAAATATACAATTATCCTTCACCAGTAGCACAACTCGGAGTTTTATGCACAAAGCTGAATACAAGACTGCCCGTTACGTAATTTAGATTTAGTGTGTGCGCGCGCGTGTGTGTAAAAAATTAAATAGAGTTGTGAATATTATTTTTTATATTAAGCATAAAAGGGGATTACAAAAACAAAAAAAACAATGGATCAGTGTATTTCAGCAGATATTTTATGCCTACATGTAACCATCAATTCATTTCTCTTGTTTAATAAGCGAAGGTTATTTAAGAGTTTTAAAATAACTAATTTTTCAACAAATTACATCTATCGCCTTTCCCATTATAAGATTTGGCTTTAGCTAAAATATCCCAGGTAATAATGGATATATTACCACCATTCCTTTAATTGTCAGAAATGTTTTGAGAGAGCAGTGCTGTTTATGCATTTTATACTGTCTTAAGTCATTCGATGATAGTAGAAACGAAATTGTTGCTGAAATGTATGCTAGCTCGGTATGCAATATTATAAGCCACACATTGGCCGTTTAAAGGATATATCATTTTTTTTTTTACCGCAGTTGCTTTTATTTTTTTTAAAATTAACGGTGTCTTTGTTGCAAATATATTTATTAGTTTATATTTGTTATTAATGCAGCTATAACTGATCTTATTTTTGTTTAAAATCTTTTTTAGTGTTGGTGAATGATTAAAGAGCTTATTATATGATACTATCAGCATGGTCCGGCGTTGCCCGTGCTTGATTCAAAAATACAGCAATCTCTATCACTTGACTTAAAATATTTTTGCCCTTCCTTGCCTTCAAAGGAGTGCCCTTTGCCGTGCTGATGTTGCTACATGCCTTACTTCTTGCCTATCTCACACTGCGAATTTTTTCTAAACTCTGTACTAAACATTAAATCTGTTACAAAAAAAGAACTAAACAAAATGAACACAAAACGATCAGCTTTAAAAAAAGGACCCGTAACTGGAAAAACCGAATGAAAAAAAAATGTTAACAACAAATACTTTTCACACCCAACGCAGTTCTGCGGAATCAGAATCAACGTTGAGTTTAAGGAAGCGAATGAGCCGATTGGAGTAAAGTGCCATGCAGATTTAAATTTTTCCCAATTGTGATGAATGCAGCTATTGATTTTTTTTTTTTGCATGCTAGCATGCTAGTTAACATTCATGTCAGTCAGCTGTTGGCTCTCACGCTGGCCAATAGAATCTTCCTGCCTATTCGTGGCAGCCAGCTATAGGCTCTCACTCTGGCCAGTAGAAAATGGCTGCAAACTACAGGAAAACTGCCGTAGAAGCATGAAAAAATCGATCATTTCTACTATCGATGGGAGTTGGGAAATGCAAAGTCGGTCTTGGCCTTTCCGCTAACTTGGAGCATGTGCATGTAAATTTTGGTGCAAATCCGTTGAAAATTGCGGCCATGCATTCGTTACACACGTTCACACACACACACACACACACACACACACACACTGCTTTTAATAGATAGAGATAGAGCATCTTTAGTACTGGGGTTAATAAAACATTACCCGATGTAACAAAAGAGAGCTATTAATTATATATTAAAAAATATACATATTATCCTTCACCGATAGTACGACTTCAGGTGCTGGGTATAGACTGACAGTTACGTAATATAAAATTTAATGAAAATATCTGGTTACCATAAATTTGACAGAGTCAAATATTATACGGAGGTTACAGTTTATTATATTTAAAAATATATTTGGCATATAAAATAAACGGGATTTATATATATATATGAATATTTCTCTGATTTAACCAGTAGAGAAGACAATATTTATGAATAAAAATGACAATAGGAAAACTGGTAATTGCTGACGCGTTTCGTCCAATGTGGACTTTATCAAAGCAAAATACGAAAATGAAATTAATTGAATAAAGTAACTAATAAAAACAAAAACAGAATGTACCTAGCAACTGGAATGTTTTTGAGAAATATTCATATATATATATATATATATATATATATATATATATATATATATATATATATATATATATATATATATATATATATATGTGTGTGTTTGTACATTAAATATATATATATGTACACTAAATCTCGGCTAATACATCAGCCCATATGTCGGTCAACCTTTCAGCATGTAAATTCCGTTTCTTTTAGATGCCAAAAATATGAGTTTTTTAAGAATAAACTTTCATCCCCGTACAATATTTGACTGCGTCAACATTACTCTAAACAAATATTTTTATTAACATTAAAGTTTTGTAACGATCAGTCTATACTCAGCACCTGAAGATTGCACTGTGCGCCAAGTCATGCTACGGGGTGAAGGATTTAAAGTGTTCATTACCAGGGATAGAACTTATGTAAATATAAAAGTGGACATTGGAGTTAACACTCAGAGGCGACAGTGTTTTATGCTTAAATGCATTCTTCAGGCACCCACACACACGCACACACATATCTATATATATATATATAATTGTGTATTTGGATATTTGGGTAGCAATAGCTCTTTTATACAGTTTTTATTACAACTGAGAAGACATTACGATTAAGATTCTATATTTTTCTTGCATTAATACAAGTTATTAATCTATCACCCATTATCACTGGTGTTTTTTTGTTTATCTGGATACATACATACACACACACATATTTATGTTTAACGTTGTTATTTTATAGATACAAGTATTTAAGCAAATGCTCTGTTTATGATAAACAGTATTAAATAACATTTACCGGCCTGAATGTCCGAGAAATTTTCATAGAAAATATTCGTTCTTTGACAGGATTCGAACCTGCATCCTATACGGAACCGTCATATACGCTGACGTGCCTTACCTCTGGGCTACAAAGAACCGTTCGGTAGACAAGGTCGAATTTACTGCTTATAAACTCCAATCTTCCATGAATCTCGTACATTCATAACTGCTCTGGCGTATCGAATGTAAACAAATGACGTCATATATTAAGAAATGGACAAGGTCCGACAATTTATTTATTAAAGACATTTTTATGTTTAACGTTGTTATTTTATAGATACAAGTATTTAAGCAAATGCTCTGTTTATGATAAACAGTTCGAATCCTGTCAAAGAACGAATATTTTCTATGAAAATTTCTCGGACATTCAGGCCGGTAAATGTTATTTA